TCGCTTTTTGAAACAAGAAATGTTGATGAGGAATCAAAATGTATACAGTGGTAATGGTAATAATTGTCGTTTTAACACACCGTAATACCCCATAGATAATACGCATTTTTTCTAAAAAGTAATAAGCAAAATCAGGGGTGCGTATTATGCACAGCTACAAAAAATCTTTAAAAAATTGCCGTAAAATAAAATAAGAATTATCATAAAACTAAATTAGAATAATATTTTTCTGTTTTAAACCATTTTTTTAAAAATAAGACTAGGAAACGCTGTCCGTAATGAAATTGGAAAGTTACAATTTAGGGTTTGATTATCAAACAAAGGGTGCGTATTATACAGATATTATATAGATAATACGCATTTTTTCTAAAAAGTAACAAGCAAAATCAGGGGTGCGTATTATGCACAGCTACAAAAAAAATCTTTAAAAATTGCCGTAAAATAAAATAAGAATTATCATAAAACTAAATTAGAATAATATTTTCTATGTTTTAAACCATTTTTTTAAAAATAAGACTAGGAAAAGCTGGCCGTAATGAAATTGGAAAGTTACAATTTAGGGTTTGATTATCAAACAAAGGGTGCGTATTATACAGATATTATATAGATAATACGCATTTTTCTAAAAAGTAATAAGCAAAATCAGGGTGCGTATTATGCACAGCTACAAAAATCTTTAAAAATTGCCGTAAAATAAAAATAAGAATTATCATAAAACTAAATTAGAATAATATTTTTCTATGTTTTAAACCATTTTTTTTTAAATAAGACTAGGAAAAGCTGGCCGTAATGAAATTGGAAAGTTACAATTTAGGGTTTGATTATCAAACAAAGGGTGCGTATTATACAGATATTATATAGATAATACGCATTTTTTCTAAAAAGTAATAAGCAAAATCAGGGGTGCGTATTATGCACAGCTACAAAAAATCTTTAAAAATTGCCGTAAAATAAAATAAGAATTATCATAAAACTAAATTAGAATAATATTTTTCTATGTTTTAAACCATTTTTTTAAAAATAAGACTAGGAAACGCTGTCCGTAATGAAATTGGAAAGTTACAATTTAGGGTTTGATTATCAAACAAAGGGTGCGTATTATACAGATATTATATAGATAATACGCATTTTTTCTAAAAAGTAATAAGCAAAATGAAGGGTGCGTATTATGCACAGCTACAAAAAATCTTTAAAAAATTGCCGTAAAATAAAATAAGAATTATCATAAAACTAAATTAGAATAATATTTTTCTATGTTTTAAACCATTTTTTAAAAAATAAGACTAGGAAACTCTGTCCGTAATGAAATTGGAAAGTTACAATTTAGGGTTTGATTATCAAACAAAGGGTGCGTATTATACATGAGTAAATTTTTTTTTCACACACTTTCAGCATAATCTTAGATGTGCGTATATGATGGTGTATTATACATGTGTTAGAGAGAGTTGGAGCGAGATCAAATAGGAGTGATAGAGGAAAGAATGAAGAGAAGGATAGGGGATAGATCAAGTCATTTGGGGACGTCGATTGACATTACATTTGAATAGTTGGAGATTATAGCTATCAGGGAAACAGGAAAAGTGGAGGGAGTTCCACAGGCGAGAAGTGCGAGACATGAAGCTATTGGAGTAGAAGAGACGGCTACATTTAACAATTTCGACAGTGAAGGAGCTCCAGACCATATATGGCAGCAATACTCCTTGCAAGGTCCAATGGTTGATTTGTATATTTGAAGGATCGACTCCGGCGATAAATAATTTTTTGGCGCGGCTCAGTGAGCTAACTTTCCTTATGGTGGACGAAGCTATTGACACACTATATTTGTAGGAAATAGCAAACTCTTAGATAATATGTTGAACTCTTGTATATCAGTCACGTAATAAATATATTTTTGTACTCTATATCATTTTCATATTCCAAGGTACATGCATTTAAAATGTGTCCCATTTTATGGGACACCTGTAATTATTATTTCGTTTGAATCCATTTTTATCATACATCTAAGAAAACAGTTATATATATATATATATATATATATATATATATATATATATATATATATATATAGTTTTAAAAACAAGGAAACCATTGATTTTAATTTTAAAAGTCTCTAGGGCCCTTTCAGCCAACATCTCATCAGGAGACAATCGTTGGATTAGCGAAAAGAATATTAACGATATTGAAGAGCAAAAAGAGGGGGAAACACTAAAATAACGAACAAGTATATATACTTGTAACGAGGGAAGGGATCGTGTAAATAAATTAGCGAGGGACAGTTAAAATAAAATATCCCCCAACAGATTCAGAGACCTTATAAATTCTTTCTGCCGGCAGAGAGAAGGTTTTCTTAATCCTATACAGACCGATTCCAAAATCTTCAAATGATTATTGGAATCGGCTGTATGAATAATTTTAAACCACTCTTTTTTATACAACTTGGCACAAGCTATATTCTCAACTAAATGTTGAGCAATAGCCGATTCCATATTCATGGGGGGAAGATAGCATATTCTATCTATCTTACCAAGTCGTATTTTGGAAGGTACGTGCTGATTAATTCTAGTTTCCAAATGCAAGGTTGTACGCTCCACATAATATATATATATATCTTTGGGCACCATGACGGAAAGCAAGAGCAAGATTTTCTTGCTTAACCATTGCTACTAAGTAGTGAGTTCGATCCACACTGGGTGCTTCATACATTCGGCGTTGTGTCGCATCTAAGCCAAAAATGATTCCTACCTAATGATAAAAAATTAGTGGCAATGGTGTCTTTATCTAGATAATATTTGACAATTACGTGGGAAGTATTTATCGGGAGTATATGAAGGAGGTTTTTCAGCCATACTCTATATAATGGAGAAAGAGGTTTTGGAAAATTTGATATTCACAGAATATACTGAAAATATATTAAATACATATTAATATAATATACTAGCAGTAGAGCCCGGCGTTGCCCGGGGATGTAACAGTAAGAAATAGATCAAGTATCGACCATCATAAAGACTGAAAAATTGACAAAGATTATTGTTTAAGGTTAACAGTTTAAGGTTGTCTTAATTAGTTTCTTTTTTTCTTTTTTTACGAATTGATCAAACCCAAATTTTTAATGGCACTAGTAATGTGACCTTTTTCCTTATATCGAAATATTTAACATTCATTAACTAAGATGCTAGTTCGATTGAAATTTATAAAATACTTCTATAAAATATTTTTTTAAGAAAATAGTTTTAGCAACTCCAGTAGCTGCCATTACTCTTTCCAATATTGTTTTCTGGTTTACTTCGTAATATTTTGTTTGAAGAGATGATAGTTTCTGACAGAATTGTTCGCCATGCATGACATCCATATGAGGGTCTGCATCTGACGAAGCAATTTAAGAAAACAAGTTGAATTGTTTGCATAGAGATAATAGTTTAGGCATTTCTGAACGAGTTGGACGCTATCCATAACATAGAAGATTCTGGATCTGATGAATGTATATAAGAATATCACCCAAGTTGGACAAAACTAACCCTAGCGCAGCCTTTACTATATACAATTTCCGTATTTCCTATACTAGATTTTTTTTTATAAGTGATCAATACAGAGAAATATTCGATATGTTTCGTATTTACTAATTCCACCTATTAATGAGTGGTTTCCTTCCTAACCTTTTCTTTGATGTAGTGCGGAATATCAGCAATTTGATTATGTCATTATTTTCTTTTCGAGTTCCATGAGCTATCCATTTTAGTTGTTGCTCCTGTTGAAAGTCCTGAAGTTTTGTTTCTGTTGTTACAGTTTTTTGGGTATATGCTGTACATAACCAGTGAGCGAGTCAAAATGACTTATTTCCCTTTATAGTCGACCAATCAGAAGCCGCACAACACTGTATCCGTCGTATATAAAGGCGGCCATCTGTTTTCTTACTGGAATGACCAGAGGCAACTTGTCCGGCGAACAGGACAGACGGAAGAACTACGCTCTGCTACCTTGCTGCGATATCCACTGCGAACCTGCACTACGATTTCCTACTGTCACCGAAATATTCCCTGCCAACCTCTAGATTCTATACTCGAAGACGACCGTCATGAAAATGTCTAACATCTGTAATTTGGTAGAGTTCTTTGTGTGTCCGTACGTCAGTCCACGAGGTTCGAACTAGAATAACCCTCGCTAAGACCGACAAGTTTTCTTCTCTGGGGGCTGTTTTTTTAAGCATTGATCTGAGAAAGAGGTTTGTATGCAGCTGACAGCTTAAGCGTTTCTGAACGGGCTGGGAAACATCAGGTAGCGACATTTGAGGTTTCTGGGACACATCTTAGAAAATCTGATACTCACGTGACAGACAGAGGACAAGGTGGACCGTGGAAAACAACGCATAACATACTTAGCGAGCTTGATGAAATGGAGGGCGTAAGAGGGCTTAGCAGAACGACAAAGTTTATTTAGAGCTACAAGAGACATAAAACTGTGAAGACTCATGATCGCCTACGTCCCGAGGGGATACGGCAAAAAAAGAATTTAAATGACTTACTAATTAACCCATAGCCAGTTGGAGTCATACATAATCAGAATCTGATAAACAAGAAATTACAATGTGGATATAAAGTGGGGGTCGATTTCATATTACAATTAATATATAAAATGATCCCTCACTTTGTGGTCACGGTAGTTTCTACATATTTTTATTCCAGAGAATGTAAATAAATCTAAGACATGTCTGAATATCTAATCCGTATTTCATTGATTGATACGTTTTTTACGGCTTATCAACCCTTTGCATGTCATTTAAAGCCAAAAAATATTTATAGATTGCGAGAATCTTTTTAAAGATAATAATTGATTAGTGATACTAGGCTTACTAATTAACCCATAGCTGGGATCGGAAAAGATGGATTCGTGCCCCTTTCAGAGGTATTTACGAACAAGTGATTACAGCGAATCCAACGGCAAATATCCTTTTCACCACCATTATTACACAGCCATTATCCATTACGCCAATCGCTCATCCAAGCTTATAGCACCTTGTATACCCAAGCCGTCACCCATCAAGGTACTGACCAGGCTCGACGTTGCTAACTTCGCTGATCGTACGGGAGCCGGTGTTTGAACATTATATGGCCGTAATAATACAAAAATATAGATTTATCTTGCCTTCTTTTCGATACAGCGTACCGGTTAACGAACTAGTCTAGGTTAATCCAAGTGCTCTATATTTACAGATTTCTTCCAATATCTTACACACGTCTTTCTTTGTTTATACTGCTAACTCAGATAGTTTTTGTTAACATTGTACATCTGTACATCTTGTTCTTTAAGGAAGTCACACCGTTCTTTCCCGATATCCGATCTTATTCAGTTACGCGATCTATTCAGCGGAATCCGAAGAAAGCTTTAGGTATTTGCTTCATAAAACTGCCTTTCCGATAGAGCTGGTATTCATTTACTTTTGACTTCTTACGCGGCTTTATGAAGTGGTCTTCCAACATTTCACCGCTGTCGTATATTTCACTTATTAATTTGGTAATCTTGTCGACCAAGATTATAACATCTATATTACTTTTTCAACTCGCCCTATTGATGTGTCCCGGTTTTTGCCAACCAGTGTCATTCTCACTTGAGAGTTTAATATCTCAGATTCCTCTATGCTTTTGTGTATTGAAGGTTTCCTTCTTATGCTGTTGAAGTGTGTTCCGGTGTGTGCGACGTTTATTAAACATCTACAGGGGTTTCAGTATCAGAGAAGTTTAGGCAAGACCCTCTCGTAGAACATTATTACTGCGTTTTGAATTCGACTCTCACTATATGTCACATGCATTGTTTTGCCAGAGAAATTTAATCTTAATATATATATGTCTCTAAATAATTAAAATCTATTAAACAATAGACAGGAGTTAAAGGTTTTTTGCAGACATCATCAAATCTTCGCATTGAAAATTATTTTATTCTTTGTTTGTTTTTATGTTAATTACATAAAAACAAACAAACAATAAAATAATTTTTAAATTCCATAATCTAAATAAATAGTTTAAATGCCCTACAAAAAAAAGATAACCCTTTATGAAGTAGTCAAAAAACAAATATTAGCGACTTATGACAGTTTTTTTTTATATACACAAAACCCTTTCAGAAAAAAATAAAAAATAAAAAAAAATAAATAAATCTCCATAGACACTTAACCAGACTAGACGATGTCATCTTCCTCTTTAAATTTAGAAACCCCAATATTACCCTGACTTAACGTCTGTTAATGTAACTGTGATATTGATAGAAATTATTAACCCCTTACTCCCCTTTTTCTTTAAACAATTGCTCTAGCCGTTACCATAGAAATTTTTATTTCAATAATGAATATACTTATAAAACACGTAAATTTCAGAAATAAGTTATTCCCAAAAAAAATTTCGCTTGAAGATGGAACAGAGCTTAGTACTTTAATTCAATTTAATTCAAATAGTTATATTGAAGTTTTCGGGTCTTGTTTTGAAACACGAGAACTCTTATGTAGCGTTGGAATCATATTTTTAAATCAATAATTTTAATATATATATATATATATATATATATATATATATATATATATATATATATATATAAAGCCATTCGTCAGGTGCGATTTTTTTTATCAACACACCGCTTAATATTATTATTTATGTTTATCGCGAGATATTTTATTGTAGGGAAAGATTATTATTGTTGTTAAAAATATTTAGATGAATTGTAGTTTAATTTTGGATTTTAATTTAGGCCCAGATTAGCATTTGAAATTGAAAATAAGTTTGGAAATAAGAATTATGAATTTTATTTTAAAGAGACGCTGTATCAAAAGGAATAAATAAAAGAAAACGTTTGGAAATCAAGGGAAGCAACTCTATTTTTTCATTTTTCTATTTTTTTTTCTTAAGCCTAATGGTTATGGTAGTGTGGAGTCATGACATGGATTTGTTTATTTTATTTCTTTATTTAATTGTATTTTATTTTGCTAATTTTCATTTTTGTATTTTCTTTAGATTTGATTTTGGTATATTTGATATAACATTTTTTTAGTTGTAGATTATCTCTTAGTACATGTTTAACTTTTAGAGTTGTTATGTAATTTTAGGTAGGGTGTCAGTAAATTGTTTTCCTAAGTACATATTTAAATGAGGACATATAATTTTTCATTACTTTGTAAAAGTGACAATTTTTATTTCATCCTCTGGGCAAAAATACTTTGTTTTGAGCTTCTTTTTTAAGCGATTTGTATATTTTTTTCTGTATATAGGTACTTTCACTTATTTCGATATATTTCTTTTTTAAGTAAATTTTTGATCCTACAGACACCTGGTATATAACGTTGGTGTGTAGATAGTTAACTTTTAGTGGGCATTGCTGATTGATTCTTCAGTTTCATGTACCTGTGGTGCATATGTGACTATTTGTTGTATTTTCATAACTTATAGAATATTTTCTGTGCAGGTATGTGACACTATTTCTTACTGGCAATAATAAGAAGCTTTCTTTTAATAGAAGGCGTGATATACTGAGAGACACTGCTTAAAAAAAAAATTAAGAAGGGTTAATGAATAAACCCCGTGGGAAAAACTGAAGATTTTAATTCTCATGTAGACGGCTATCTGAAATATGTGTCGGGGCTTTGAACAATGGAACCGATAGGGTTGACGTGGATTTGAAATGCGACGGGTCAAATGGCAACAATGATTGACGCTTGGTCGATCACAGACACAGCTAAAAATACGGGCAATATGGGAAACTTTTCTGCTTAAACAACGAACTTAGAATTAATCTTTACTTGTCGGAGGGTGGCTTAGGTAGCAGGTACAGATAGGTTAGCAAGGAAGGTGGAGGAGTCACCCACGACCACTGAGGATGATTAGGCGAACGTCAATAAATACGAAAGCTCCGAAGTGAGTGAGAGAGTTCGGTTCAGATACCGGACGCGAGACAACCTACGTGATTATCTGCAGACGAGAAATTCCGACATCAGTCTTTTGCCGAACATGACCAAATCAGTAAAACAAAGTTTACCAAGTCAACAAAGTGTCACGTCCGAGTTAGAAGCGGATTGGGCCGATAATTGTTTGCATGCGAACTCTTGGATTTAATAACAATTAACCAATTACTGTACGAAGGACTTGATATAAAAATAGTATTTATTTATTTTTTGAATTTATTCGAGCTTTTATTTTATTTATTTGCGTCTTTGCCCAGCTTACATCAGCCCAATACGAAGATAACTGACGACGATTCGATCTTGGGAGCCTTATGATCAAAGCAAATCACAACGTGGAATAGGGCAGGAACTACATCGAAGCGAACATGTCATCGATCAGCTGCGGTATTGGACGTCTTGGACGACCAGGAAGGGAGTAGCGCGATGGCTATAGCTAGGTTTTAGGATATTTATGTTGAATATTTTCTGTCATTTTAATTTTGAGTACTGTTTTCCGGAATTGTCCATCTTTTCTAATCCTTTCAGCTGTGGATAAATTGCGGAACAGACTGGGTTCTATAGCCTTGAGTGGTAACCGATTTCGGAGAAGTAAAACACTGAATTCAAATCTATATGTAGCCATGACGAATAGATTCTCTGCAGCTAAAGGACATGATCGTTCGCATTATCTCAATGATTCTTACTACGGTCGATTCATTTTTTTTATTTTTTGAGTTTTAATTAATATCTTTTTTATATTCGTTTTCACCTTTTCCTTGTACTGATTATTGAATTATATGATGTTTATTTTTCTCTTTTTCTTGCATTGTTTTTGTGTGAATAATAATTTTTAAAAAAATGTCTCTGGTCGTTTCCCAACTTTAGATTTTTGGTAAAACTATCACCTACAACAAATATAATATTGGTACAGTTACTAAGTCAAATAGTTCTCACTATTGAAAACCGAGGCGCTAACCTACTAAGTTCAGTGCATGAGATAAACTCTTTGTCTACGAATGTCTCCGTTGTCATTGTTGCGTCAACCTTTTAGGCAGCGGCCTTCTGATGAAAACTTCTTTTATAGTCAAATCACCCCAATCAAGGCGTAAAGCAACTAGGACAAAAATGCAAGAAAAAGAACAAATATATTATTAAAGAGAGATAACAATAAATGAAATGGAATTACTTAAGCCTGCAATTGCTTCCATTCGTTTCAACGATTACGTGAACATTGTTTGAAAATAATTGTTCGAAAACAGTTATTCGGAAAACATTTGAATTGACAATTGTTTGAATGGAAATTAATCGAATGGACAATTATATTAAATGAAAACTATTCGAAATGCAAAATTCTTTATTACAATAAAAATGTAAACATTAAAAAGGGAAATAAACAAATGATAATTATTCGAAATACAAATATCGTTAATAATACACTTAAGTTAGAATGGTACTCGTTAAATGATGCCACTAATTTTTAAAGTTTGCCATTTACGTTGTGATATTTCTTGGCACTCTTGAGATTTTGGCAACCTGTTCTTACTTTAGCAATATGAATTTCTTGCAACGCTAAATAAAAATAGTGATAATTGTATCTGGAAAAATCATTATCATATCCCACAAAAATTGTTAATCCAATTTTCATTAGTAAAAAAACAGAATCATTTTTACCATGTAAATGTTTTAGCTTTGAATAACATACAAAGGGTTGATAAGTTGTAAAACAATTCTAATAGAATCCATTTATTTTCTCCCAATTTTTTCCTCGTTTATCTTTTACTTCCTTTCTCTTCTTTTGTCTTCCATTCTCTTCTACTTCCTTTCTTTTCTATTTCGTCTCCTTCTCTTTTATTTTTCTTACCTTCTCTTTCTATTTATACGCTTCTTTGTTTCTTCTTTTATCTATTTTCTTTTCTTTTTTGTACAATAATCCTTCGATTAGTGCAGCTAATGTGATACGCGTTAATAAAAAGCGCATTAACCGAATATAATAACATATAGGAAATCATGTAATTTTTACCTCAAATTTTAGCCTTATTCAAAATTAAGTTCTAATTTGCGTACTTTTTAATTAAAATATAGGTACATATAAGAAAATACAATAAAATTATTCGAAATGCAAAATTCTTTCTTGCTATAAAAATGTAAACATTAATAGAGGAAATACACAAATGTTAATTATTCGAAACACAA